GTAGATCTAGCCAGCATTCCAGCTACGATGTGACTTGTTATGATCCCTGCTACATCGTTAAGGGGCGGAAAAACAATTCGCAGCGCTGGCCGAGATGGCTGGTAATTTATCATGGCATAGCAAGGAACCAACTCTATGAACCCAAAAAAAAAAGGGGCTGTAAGAAATGCATATATTCCGGGGTCATCATGCTGGTAGACCAAAAAATACTAAAAAAGATTTATGCGACACCTCTGGGACTCGAACCCAGGCGGGCGAACCCACAGGCTAAACAGCTAGTACGATAAGGTAGTAGCAGGCCTGCGCCTTAAACCACTCGGCCAAAGTGTCAATTTGATAAGAGTAATCACGTTTATAGTCATATATGATCTATCCCACATATGCACTGTTTGACTCACAAATCTCAACCACCGATTCGCCGACTTCGACTTTACCTCCAAAACATCTTTTGCTCCTGAATTTAAGGCTGCCCGTCTATAACGCCGGTTCGCGCGGGAAAGTCCGACCTCAATTCCTTGAATGCACCCCTCACTCCAACCACGCATTCTCCGCTCCGCCCGAAGAGCCCTGACGGAGTATCCCCGGGCCCCAACGAGCAGTTGCAGACGCAGCAGCACCAACAGGAGCGGTAGTAGCCTTCAGCAGCACCAAACCAGAGAGCGGCCAAACATCCGGCAGGCGATCGAAGCCCCCACCATCCCCCACCACCGCCACTACCACATCTCCCTCTCCCACTCGACTTTTCCCTCCTCTTCCCCCTCCATTCCCCTCCCCCATCCCTCTCGTTCGCTCTCCACCATGCCCAAAGAAAAGGAATCCAAGCTCTCCTTCAACCTCAAGACCCCCAAGGGTACCAAGGACTGGTCCGGCTCCGACGCCCTTCTCCGCGACCGCATCTTCTCCACAATCGCCGACGTCTTCAAGCGCCATGGCGGTACTGCCCTCGACACCCCCGTCTTCGAGCTGCGCGAGATTCTCGCCGGTAAGTATGGCGAGGACTCCAAGCTCATCTACGACCTCCAGGACCAGGGTGGAGAAATCTGCTCCCTCCGCTACGATCTCACCGTCCCCTTCGCCCGTTGGCTGGCCATGAACCCCGACGTCCGCAGCATGAAGCGCTACCACATTGCCAAGGTCTACCGTCGCGATCAGCCCGCCGTCAGCAAGGGTCGCATGCGCGAGTTCTACCAGTGCGATTTCGATATCGCTGGTACCTTCGACCCCATGGTCCCCGATGCCGAGATCCTGCGCATCGTCACCGAAGTCTTCGAGGAGCTGGGCTGGAACGGTCGTTATAACATCAAGATCAACCACCGGAAGATCCTCGACGGTGTCTTCCAGGTCTGCGGCGTGCCCGAGGAGAAGATCCGTCCGATCTCCAGTGCCGTCGACAAGCTGGACAAGATGCCCTGGGCGGATGTGCGCAAGGAAATGGTCGAGGAGAAGGGTCTGGACGCTGCCGTGGCCGATAAGATCGAGACATACGTGATGCACAAGGGTGGCCGCGAGCTCCTCGATAACCTCCTCAAGGACGAGGGTTTGACTGCCAACGAGTCCGCCAAGGCCGGTCTCGAAGATATGGGTCTGCTCATGGACTACCTTGAGGCATTCGGCGTGCTGGACAAGATCTCCTTCGATATGAGTCTGGCTCGTGGTCTCGATTACTACACCGGTGTGATCTACGAGGTTGTCACCGAGGGCTCCGCCCCCGCCGTGGCGTCCTCCGCACCGGAGGCCCAGGCCGTGCAGAAGTCCGGCAAGAAGAGCAAGTCCAAGGGCGGCAACTCGGAAGACGACGACCGCTCCAACGACCCGACCCTGGGTGTTGGCAGTGTCGCCGCGGGAGGTCGCTACGACAACCTGGTGGGCATGTTCCTGCCCAAGGCGCAGATCCCCTGTGTGGGTGTGTCCTTCGGTGTGGACCGTATCTTCTCCATCACCAAGGCCCGTCTCGAGCGTGAGAAGAGCGCCGAGGCCCTCCGCAGCAGCGAGGTTGATGCCTACGTCATGGCCTTTGGTGGCAAGGGCTTCACTGGTATGCTGAAGGAGCGGATGAGCGTGTGCCAGACTCTGTGGAACTCTGGCGTCAAGGTAAGCCTCCCCCACATACTCCCTTCCCTCCCTTCCTGATCGTATATACTAATAATAATCTACAGGCCGAATTCTCCTACAAGGTCAAGCCCAAGCTCCCCCAACAATTCAAGGCCGCCGAACAAGCCGGCGTCCCCTTCGCCGTCATCCTGGGCGAGGACGAGCTCGCGGCCGGCAAGGTCCGCGTCAAGGAAATGGGTCTGGAGGACGGACACCCCGAGAAGGAAGGTGTTCTGGTCGATCTGACTGCTCTGCCGGCGGAGGTCAAGGCCCGGGTGGCTAAGAAGCGGGGAGGGAGTGTTGAGGGTGTTGCAGAGCAGTTGGGTGAGATGGAGGTTGATGCATAGAGATGGGAAACCTTATACATACAGGGCTTAGATGGGTTTCAACTTGTTTGTGCTAAGAGCGTTCAACTTCCAGTTACAAAAAGTATAAGGGTGGGAAGGAAAAGAAAAAATTAACGAAGATGTTCTAAAATACAATACCCGGGGGTTTATTTTCATTTTATCTTTCGCTTTTCATTTGGTGCTTTTGTCTTGATGTGGTATAGATAGATAGCAGTCGAATTGGAGCGAGATTGGTTCTATACAGTACACTGTTTTGGTATAATGGTATATCCATCCTTATTCATTTTATTGTCATTGAAATGTAGTAGTTAGTACTTATAGAGCATAAGATTGATATACTGCACACATGTAATCATATCATACACTTGAACAAATGACTAAAGTACTGCTAAAGAAAAATAATAATATACATACCACTTCCTACCTCATAATAAACACATAGGTTTATTTACGACCCCTCAGCCCCTTTCATCAACAACCCCTTAACAAACGGCACCCGATCAATCACATCCAATCCCAGACTGCGCGCCCACGCCACAGGTCCATTACCCGGAACATTATACAATTTATGCAGGACATCACAAGCACCGCCGATCTTCGCATTCGTGCCATACCGATCCCACGCATACCGCTCAAGAGTGAGCAAATCACCCACGTCCATACCATGGTGCACGGCGTACTCGATCGTCTGCGCCAGGGACGCCACGTCGCCCAGACCCAGGTTCAGGCCCTGACCGGCGAGCGGGTGGATGACGTGCGCGGCATCGCCGACGAGAGCCACGCGGGGAGAGACGTAGGTGGAGGCGTGGCGGAAGCGGAGGGGGAAGGAAGCCACGCTGCCTTCCTGGACGCCTGTGACCATGGGTGGGAGGTGGGAGGGCTGCGGGGTGTGTTGGAGGCGCCAGGTGAGTTCGTCTTCGTAGGGGTTCTCGGTTGTAGTAGAGGAGGGGCGTTCCATGCGCAGCATGTATTGGAGGTCGGTCATGGAGAGGCGGAAGGCGGCGTTGACCATGGAGATGAAGGCCTTCGGGGAGAGGGATTTGAGGTAGACGGCGTTTTCGACGGTCGTGGACCAGACGAGGGTTGCGTTGTTGTTGGGGAGGGGGAGTAGGGCGATGGGTCCGCCTAGGGAGGGGAGGAAGCGCTGGTAGGCGGTTCTCATTCCGAGAGGGAACGGAGCGGGGTCTAGGTCGGCGAGGGAGAGGCTCGCGACGATGCCGTGGCGGTTATAGTCCCATCCGTCTGTGGCGATGTCGGCGAAGCGGCGGACAGGGCTGTTGATGCCGTCTGCGCCGACGAGGAGGCGCGCGGCGATGCGAGTGGGCGGTTGGGTGGTGGTGGTGGTGTTGGTGGGTGTGATGGAGAGGACGGGCCAGGCGGAGAGGTCGGGGCCGTCGGGGGTATCGGTGCCATTGGTGATGGAGGAGACGGTGCTGTTGGAGAAGAGGGAGAGGTTGTCGTCCCCGGAGGTGGCAATGCGGGAGAGGAGGGCGCGAACGAGGTTGGAGTTCTCGGTCATGGTCGCGACGGTGCGGAGGTCTTCGAATGGAGAGGTCTCCATGGACCAGTCGAATGAGATGCGCGAGCCGGTTTCGCCATCCCAGACTTGCATCTCCTGGTAGGGCTGAGCGCGGGAAGTGTCAAGGTGATCCCAGGCGCCGATCTTCTTCAGGAACGAGACGGAGGAGGGAGTCAGGCTGCTGACGCGGTTGGAGTAGTTCTGCGCATCGAGGGACCACGAGCGGGCTTTGTTCAGGTCTTGAGTTTCAACCAGGGCGACTTTCAGCTTTGAGGTGGTGGGATTAGCCCCTATAGAAGTCAGTCACAGACACCAATTGAAGGTATACAGCGCATTGGAGCAGCATACGGAGTGCAGCCAGCAGGCCTAGACCGGCAGGACCACCGCCGACGCAGACGACATCGTAGATCTCGGGTGCCGCAGCGTTGGAGGGCGAGTGGGAAGCATATCTCCTGCGGGCAGGAAGACGGCCCAATTGACAAGACGGGCAAACGTAGGGACGGAGAGCCGTCCGAGAGAGAGGACGCATTATGGGAGATGGGGCAGTGAACAGCGGGGAAGAGAGAGCGAGAAGCCGGGAAGTGGAAGGGAAAGTGAAGCCATCACCAGATACTAAAGCAAACAGAGCAAACATCATTCCGCATCCATCAACTAACTTACCATCAACAAGTGTAAGTCATATTTCAACCCTCAAGCAACTACTCATTCTCGCCCCCAAATACTACTAACTTTCCTCCTGCACAATAATCAACCCAAGAAATACACATCTCAGCATACCATCAAATTTCCACAAAATGCAACATGCCATCTATTTCCCCCCTGACTCCAAATCTCACTCACTCTCACTGCCACTGCCACCATGCATTCACTCCGCCACAATGCACCCATTCCAATTCCACTACTGCAGAAAGGCGAAACACACCCCCCTCAAGCCAAAAACAGAAAAAGATAACTAGTAAAACCCTGAAGAACTTTAAACTATATTAGTACCAGACACAGCCCTACAACTCAATTGAATTTTTCTCTCCAACTTTAATACCATCAATCATTTCAATCACATAACAACCCTACTACCATACTATACATACCGAGACAGGAAAGAAGGAAAGATGTCCTCATCAAACACCACTACTACCAAAACCCCTAAATCCAATTCCCAATCCCAATCCCAAACACAAGAAGAAAGACCCCATCTATCCGCCAACTTCGCCAACCCATCATCGCAAAGAATCGACTACGACCATGAAGTCTACCTCCATTTAATGTCCGGTGATGATGGTGATGATACCCGCAAGGACAAGAACAGAAGCAAGACGCCTAATCAGGTGTATAGGGAGGTTAGTACCATACCTGATTTCATTGCATGATTTTCATATACTATGTGTTTGTTCGGGAAGTTGTGTGCTTGCGCAAGGGTGTATCTGATATCAGGGGTATATCCCTGTTGTAGAATATCGTGCGAAGACATACGACTCGCGCGCTGGATCCGGCTGTGGTGGACCCTAATGCGCAGAGGGATCCGAGTCCCCTTGATTTGGAGTGGGCGGAGAGTCAGAGGGTTAGGGAGAGGCTGGTGGGGAATTGATTGGGTTTCATGGTGATTGTGGGGATGAGGATGATGGATAGATGGTAGGGTTTCTAAGACGAGTAAAAGGAGGAAAGAAGGACAGAGTGAAAAGTGCAACGTCGTGATGATTATTTCATTCATGAAGCAACAGTCTCCTTCCGTAATGGTAATAAGACAATCAAAACCCTCATGAAGCGAACAAAAAGAACATGGCTAGTGCGATATCACAGTGTCATAATCAGTAGTACCTAAATGTAGCAATGGTGGTTGTAGTAGTAGTAAAAGTTATCACCTCTCCTCCATGCCTGGGTCATGCTCTTCTTCCAGATCACCCTCCATCTCAGCCACAAATCGTTCCCAGGTATTCAGTACTCCCTGGTAGAATTCGATCTGCTTCTCGGCCAATGCCCCAAGCGTATCCCGGAACTCTACGGCCTTGATGCGCTCAAAGTCTGCCACTTCCCGCACGACTTCCTCGTCGAACATCTCCGACGTTGTCTTGGCCGACTCGACCTCGCGCGTGAGCTCGTCGATGCGGAGCTCCAACTTCCGCACCCGCTCGCGTCGCGATTGCTCGTGATCGACACCCCGCATGTCCTCCATCTTAGACCGGATGAACGAGGCCGGGGAAGAGGTCAGCGGGTTGGAGGCATAGTAGGAAGAGGGGTTAGAGGCGAGGGAGTCCCGCTCCGCCACCGCCTTGTTTCGATAGTCGACCAGCGCTTCGAAGTCGAGCTGCTTCTGCTCGCGCGTCTTGAGGAGGGCTTTAAGCGAGACAATGTACGCCTCCATATCCCGCAGCGACCCCAGATAGTTCTGATCGGTGTGATCCTTGAGCGTCTTGAGCCCGCGCCCCGTCTCCTCTACCGAGGCTGCAAAGACTTGTAAGGGGACCTCCACCTCCGGTTCTAGGGGCACTAGTTTGCGGAACTGCGTAGCCAGATCATTATAGTCTGCCTCGAGATCCGATTCTCGCCGAGCCACCCGGGCTACAATCTTCTCCACATGATTGAGGTCCTCATCCAGTTTATCCGCCTTCTCCCGCACTTCAATAAACCGCTTATCCGGCTTATGCACCTTAGTGAAAGCGTTGACAAAGGTGTCGGTAAAGTTGTCAAAGATCCCAGGAACCCCGCTGCCGTCCGAGGTGCTGGTCGAGTTGCGCGTGGATCGCAACCGCATGTGTGCATTCCAGTCGGGAGATTCCAAGAAGATGGCCAGCAACGGCGCGCGCCGAAGCACGGGATGCAGCGTAAGCCGTTTCAAGAAGCGATGTAGAGACCATGCCCGTCGGGTGGTGAACTCGGGTCCAAACCGATCGCCGCGAACATACTCCATCTTATGCTTATCCGGCAGCGGCGGGACGGCACAGGCAGGGTATTCGCGATAAAGCGTCTTGTATAGGAAATAGAAATCGGTGAATCTGCGTCGCACGGTGAACTCGGGTTTCTGGAAGGACTTGAAATCGGTCTACAGATCTGGTCAGCGAACACTGCAACTACACACTCGTCTCCTTCGAGACCACTGAAGGCAGAGACAACCCACCGTAGTAGTAACCAGATATGAAATATAAGCGTCTTTTGTCCCATCATTCTCTTTCAACGGCGAATCTACCCGGCACTCTAGCACACCGTCGCCAATACCCGCCAGGTCGACAGCATCCGCCAGTGGCCCAGCCTGGGGGCTCTCTTCAGCGTTGCTCATCCTCCGTTTGCCATTGACATCGTGAGTGTATGGTTCCTGTTCCTCTGTATCTGTCCCGGACGTCGTAGGTCGCGAGAGATCACTGTCCGGGTCATGCCTCCACGAGACGCTGTCGAAGTCGTCGTGCTGATCCATCGAGGGGCTGGTTGGGTTGCCTGCCGCCTGGAGCCGGCAGAGAAGGCTAGATCGGTAGCGTTGGAGTGGGTGGAGATGGGGATCAGTGCGAGGTACAGTACGTGGAGCTAGGAAAAGCCGGTTTTTAGATTAATCTGAGGGTTCTAGAAGCAGGACAGCAGGATAAGGTGGGAGGAGTGAGGAGATGGAGGTTGGTTGGCGGGCGGTCAACAGCAGGAGAGACGAGAGATGCGGAGGAAGTCAAAAGCAGCGACGGGAAGCGTCATCGCCAAGACCCTTAATTTAGTGTTCCTTGGGTTCTACTCCGGAGATCACCACCACTTGATGCTACGGCAGATGAAGAATAGATAAATCAATGAATGAATGATTTAAGATGGTGCACACATACATGGTATATACACGCTTTCTCTATGCAGCATACACAGCAGGAATATAGTTCAAACGCAGGTCATCCAACGAGTTAGAAACACTGTCCGAAATAAGATCAACCCTCATCTACTTGCCCTTCATCTCCGAGAATGCTCTCCATCCCTTTCCCGTTCTTGTTCGCCGCTAATCCCCCGATCCCGATATGGTTCATCATCCTCATCACTGAACAACGGTTCCTCGTCGCTCTCGCCCGCAAAAGCATTGTACAGCTCGCCACCCCGGCGACGTGAACGGTCCGCCCGTCCGTTCATCGCCTGCAGCTCATCCTCGTCTTCGATCATCTCGAAGTCATAGTCATCCCGACTGTCGTTGCGAAGGCGTTTACGGCGTTGCACATGGAAGTAGACGCCCAGACCAATGCAGAAGACAATGATGGAGCCGATGGCGGCGTAAATCCAGGCTTGCGTTCGCTTGGAGGCACCGAACGTGGGAAAGAAGGAAGGCAGGAAACTATCTGACGCAGAGGTCGGAGAAGGGCTTGCTGTTGAGCTTGCCTCAGCCGTAGGGGTCTTCTCGAGTTCTTCATCATCGATGGGATCCGTCAGACTACCTGTCGGCATCGCGGATGTTGTTGGCTTAACGTTCACCGGGCGATCAACGCCACCAGTGGGCTTGTCAGGCAGCTCGGTTTTCGTGGGGACGGCGCTAATGCTCGTGGTAGCCACGTTTCCTTCCTCGTAGCTGTGGTCGTCATCATGTTCAGTAGGCATGGGGTGAAGAGGCTGCTCGGCTGCGTCAATCGCCTCTCCCCACAAGTTGAGTCGCCAGTCAATGAACTGTCCTGTATGCTCGTTGACATTGGTGTCCTTGACAATCACAGTCCATTTGCCAATTCCGGACTCGCCCCTAGATGAATATTAGCATGAAAACCGACAATCGAGTAAAAGAATTACTTACCAATGAGCAACGCTCATAAAAGTCCAGTCAACATAGCCCACCTCTTGATTATCCGGCCGCCGGGGCGTACTGAGGTGACTGACCCTGCCGTCAGGGCTCCGCAACTCCACACTGAGATCGCCTCGGCGGGTGTGGTTAACATTCATGGTGACCGTGACATGCTCCAGCCGTTCCAGATTGGCACCCTTCAACATATCCTCCGTCACCTCATACGAACTGGCCAGGCCCTGCTCGCCCTGTGGAATCTCATGCTCAACCCGCTGCCAGGGGGAATGGAGCCAGGCCTGGGGCTTCACCAGATCCCAGGTCTTTGCCTGTTGCACCAGCGTCCAGGTATCTACCTTGCCGTATCCCCAGTCATGGCTGAACTTCTTTCCATTCTTAGTATCTTGCCAGCTTCCATCGTCTTCATGAACCGGCACTGCCGCCTCAATCATCAAATACTGTACATCACGCCAGGTGAGTTCCGGCCGAACACTGAGGGCCAGCGCCACAGTCCCCGCAGCGAGCGGGCCGGCCGCCGAAGTTCCACCATGAGTACTCGAGCACTTGTCTGTGCCGACGTCCGTGGTATGAATTGCATCACTCGCGCCGCTGCTGTAGGCAACCACCAGTTGCGCCGAGCAGGATTCCGAATAGGGAGGATGGTTACCCTCCCGGTCAATGGCACCCACCGTAATGCTGTAGATACTGTTGGTGTAACCGTCAAAATTACAATTGTCATCATGAATGGCACCGTTACCAGCCGCAAACACAAAAACCGAGCCTTTTCCACCCCGACCGTTTTGAATACCATTGACCATGGCCCGCTTGATCAGGGTTCCCGGAGCCTCCATTGTAGCACCATCATCGTAAGGACCCCAGGAACACGAATAGATATCGTTCTCCTGGTAAGCGTAGTTGATAGCCGCAGCCTCATCAGTATCATCAATGGGTGCAGAGAGAATCCGAATACCAGCGATGCGACTATCATACGCAACACCAACCCCGCACACGTCGTTCTTCGCCGCACCGATTTCACCCGCACATCTAGTACCGTGGCGGTCGTCGCTCAAGCGCGGCCTCGGCTCTGGTACCTTGTCATTATAGTCGTAAGACCCCGCTGCAAAATAGTTCGGCCTAAGATCGTTGCTGTACATGTCCAAACCATCATCGACAATAGCCGTCGTGACACCCTGCCCCGTAATGCCTTCCAGCCAGATCCCCGTCACATTAAGGTCATGACCCAGCTGAACGGTATTGAACAAATGCCATTGTTCGCCGAAGATAGGATCCGCTAGGCCTAATTCCGAGGCAATGCGTTTTTGCGCCGCAAGCGCTTGAGGATCATTCTGAGTGTTCACAGGCGATCTGGCAGTATATCCTGTCGGCGGCACTCTCTTATGAAGTTTCCTCTGGGGGGCCAGCTTCTCGGACCAAAGAATCCCACTTAGACCTTCGTCTCGCCCGACCAAGGAGGGAAGGACAGCGGCGTCGTCTCCGGAGCGACGGCGTAACCTCCGACGATCGCGCAATTGACCCAGCAGCGCATGGACATCTTCACTGTTCTCACGGGGTATCGAAAAGGTATGATGTGAAGGTAATTCTCCGACGGGGCCTTCGTGGCGAGCACCTAGTCGTTGAGCGACGTCGGCCGGCGAGGCGGATTCATCAAGGTGTAGAGCGAAGTAATCATGTGTCTCGTAGGAACGATGAGGATGGAGAGAAGCGGAGGCAGCAGCGCAAAGGCCCAGAGCCGCAGCGACACCACCTGTAAGACGCATCGTTTGGGGGGAGAGTTTGGGTGAACTCTCACTCTCAGGACGATGTGATCAGGCCAAGTAGGAGGCTTGCCATGGACCAACACGTACTGGGTATGAGGCGGGTCCCGGTGTACAGGCAGACGCAAGGAAAGTCGGCCAGGTATGTGTCGGTCTGTAGGGGCGCCACCGAGGTGGGAATATGATACCGAGGATCAAAAGCAATAATAGGGATCGAAAGTGGCAAGAATGGCAAAACGATACGAGAAATAATGGAATTCTGAATGAAAGCGAGGGAGAGAGTTGACGAGTTGGCCCGAATGAATAGAGAGTAGCAGCAGCTAGACTAATACGCGGCCCTGGGGCGGCAGACCAAACTCCCGACTCCAACTTGCCTTTCGCCGATCCACTTTTTGCCCTTTCCTCGCCCAAAATGGATCACCGCCTCAGGTGGTCCGCCACTAGCTTTATTGAGTCTAGCAGATCTTGGCTGCCCCTTTTGGCCCCGTTAGATCGGAGATCATGTTATTCCGGGCCCGGTCACATCACATATGTATGGACTATGGAGATGCAGGTGGTAGGACGCCTATTAATGCATGAGGGCGATCCTTTATCTCAGGATTATTGCATCGTGGTAGTACTAGTGCTTTATACTGGTAGAGTTGATAGACCTTATATGAGGTCAACCCCCGCACTGGTGGTTACTAGTCGATCTTGGATGAAAACCGTTTTCCAAAACTTAAGATTCAATTATATACTTTAAACTGAACCTAAAGTCGAACCATGTCTAGTAAGATATTTCCAGTGAGAAACTACACAACATCGCCCTCAATAGTGATACGGGTATACTCAGCATTCCAACAAAAGTAACAAATAGTAAATATGCGAAACATCTCATTTACAGGAAAAGCAGTAGTCACATTAGGGTTCGCATCGCTTTAGTGTGTAAACTTCAATTAAACAATAATCAATAACCGACACTTAATTACACTATGTCCAAGCTTTTACCCACTTTTTCCACCGACTATATGCAAAAAACCAAATTCATTACCAATAATTCGCTTCTTACAGGTGAAGCGAAAAAAGACACAAAAGGAAAAAGAGCACCAGGCAGCTCCACGCCACAGCACTCAAGATCATTCCCTGTCTTTGGACCTGTCGCAAAACATCGGTATATCGCATCGTCTCAAACGCCACCAGCCGGTACTGCGTCGCCCACCCAAGCTGCGGGGCATGAAGACTCAGAAACTCTTCAATACGCTTGCGGATATGGTAAGACATCTTGAACACGCCTTGTCGTAGCTCCTTGTAGTTTTGCAACGCCAATTCATTTATAATGTGAACATCCGGCTGGCGATACTTGGTGTACTGCTCAAGGTAGTCTTCTACAATTGCCTGCGGGGTGTCGGGTAGCTCTTTTTGTTGCATCGCATAAGTCAAGGAGAGATTGTCCTTCCAGGAAGGGAAACTCCTTCGTTGGTCGAGGAAGTCCTCGAACAAGATTCGGACATCCTCGAAGCCGGTGTTCATGCCTTGGCCGTAGAAGGGAACCATGGCATGTGCGGCATCACCAATAAGGACACATGAGTCCTGGTAGTGATACGGTGAGCATCGGATGTCGATCATGGGGTGATGAAGGTTGGACTTGAATTGTTTCTGGAGGTTGTCGGTGGGGATGAGGTCTGGTGTGATACCAGGGAAGTTCTTCTCGAAGAACTCCGCAATCCTCCCAGAGGACTTCAATTCCAGAAAGACTTTTTCCGGAGCGAACAGATTGCAAGTCAATGTTCCTTCCTAGGGAGGGTCAGTATCACATTGGTTGTAGGAATGATTTGTGGAGCATGCATACCTTATCCGGACAGGCAAACAGCATAAAGTCACGCTGGGGCCACATGTGCAGACAGTCCATCGGAAGAGCATGCCCCGCAGGGATGGTAAGCTCACACCAGAAGATGTCTTCCCACTTCTGGCTAATGTTGATTTTGGCATAGCGGGACAGAAAGAAGCGGGTTGTAGAGTGAGCACCATCAGCACCAATCAGTAGGTCAAACTTGGTCTCATGACTGGGCTCCAGAGGGCGAGATATGTTTTGGAAAGTGGCACACTTCTGCTTCATGTCCAAGCCATTGAGTCTGTGTTTGTAGAATATATGAACATTGGGGAAGGCAGACAGCTCCTCAAGCAAATTTTGGTTAATCTCAGAGCGGCTAATAGCATAAAGAGCCTACATATAGATGAGCATATGTCAGAATGGTTGTCTAAAAGGAGCAGAGAAAGGAAAGGAGTAAATGAAGAGGGTTCTGACATACCTGTCCATGAACATCATAGGCAATTCGCCTGGTAGTTAGTCGCGTCTTGGACTTGCTGTGCACCATTCGACCATAGACGGGAACAGTTGTCGATAGGATTCTCTCTGCCAGGCCCCTGCATTGACTATGCCGTAAAGCCTTGATGCCTCGTTCGGACAGCGTCAGACTGATACTCTTGGCAGAGAAGGAAGTTGCTGTCTGGACTTGACTGTACTCTACATGTACAACCATCCGTTAGAAGAGAATGTCACTGGGAAATGCATCAGAGGCGCAGAAAGTAAGGCAGACGCACCGTCCCTCATCTCATAAATTTCCACTTGAAAGCCTCGCTGAGCCGCATATAATCCCGCCAACGCCCCAACCGGGCCACCCCCGACAATAACAACCTTGTATGAAGACATAGTAATCTAAGTACAATAAGACGTTTCTCACAATAGAGGAAGACAAATAGATTGGGGGAGATGCCCTGGTAATACTAGCATTCTGAAAAAGGGCATCGTGGTACCTTTTTATATCCAAAAGGTGCAACCAATTCTCCAACGTAGACCGCCTCTTACCAGATTCGGAGTTATAACGCAGTCCTGGCATGATACATTTGCCGGTGAATCCTGATTGAGCAAAAGTATATGACACTATTCCGATGAGTCCCTTCGGAAGTTAACTGTCCATAGAGCAATGTTGATCGATTGGTCACTCCAGCATGGAACCGCTGACTTCATTGGCCTGATCTGGAGCCGTAGGAATCTACTACTGGCATCCTTCAGGATGGAAAAGAAAGGCCAGAATTGGTGGCCCTCCAGAATAGAGCCTAGTGGATATTTGCAAGCACTGTCTTGGGGCCAAATGCCTTTGGAAACTGGACAGGGTCAATACGTTGCGTGGCTGATCGGAGACCCCGGATATTGATATTTATGCAGAAACCAAGCCTAGTACCCGTGTACCTATTTAAGTTCACATACTTCGAGCAGAAAACTATAACGATTTCCATGAATGTAATATAAGTATGGAAATTCCCTCGAAGTCCCGGACTTCATGGATGTGTGAGTTCTCACATGCATGAAGGGGTATAATTATCGAGGGTCTGTATGCCGGTTGAATGCGGGTTCTCGACTCGCAGTCCAGGCAGCAAAGGACGTCTAATAATAAGCATTTTCAATACAATATTTCTTGGCAATTCATCGGAAAGACCACCGGGAAGTGAACGAGACGTTACGGTCTGTTGGACAGCATACTCAACGAAGATCGTTATCGTCCTCCGGCGATCTAGACATCACCCAATTGGCTACACTTGGATATTGTAGGATCGGGTTAGTAGTGCATATCTGACGTGAGGCGGAGATGTGTCCAAAGAAAGCAAAAAGAGCAATAAGCAGAAATATACTCAGTCAGGGCTCTGCAGTAATTCTCTGCAATAGTCACCACTAGATGAAGGATCGCCGGCGCAATCCCGCTTCCATAAGCATCTCCTACGCATCTCCGTCGGCATTTTCTGGCCAGAGACAGTCTTGCCCGTCTGGACCGGGCTAATATCATGACGTGACCGCTAAAAAGGCGCATTAAACCGCCTCGTTCCTGCTGTAAGAGGCCAGAACTACAACAGTTGTTTCATCCTATAGTTTGCTGGAGATAAGGGATCCGGAATTTGGGGGCTCTGAAGCGTTAGGGCTTATAGGATCTATGATCGTCATGATAGGTTACAGAAAATTCTACTCCTCCTTCTTGCTGCCCACCTTCCCGCCGGACCGCAGTCCCACAAAACTGACAAAACAGACTACGATCATGGCTGCGAACATGAGCCAATAGGCCGCTTCGTAGCCTTTCAACAAATTGTCGTCCGAATGTGCCGTAACAGATCCAGCAATAACAGCGCTAACGGCTAGTCCGACGGAGTTACCAATCTGTGAGACGGCATTAAACACGGCCCCAGCCAGCCCTTGGTTCTCTCCCGGATAAGCTTGCGAGATTATAAGGTTTGAGACGGTAAAAAGAACTATTTTCCGATTAGTGATTTGGAGTGATTTGCTTAATTTAGCCGTCATATTCATTTTGAACTTACCATCTGGATGCAGTGGGCTCAGAAGCATCCCCACGAACGGCCCCCGCCAATATCCCCAGCTGGGTTTGACCAAAGCCATCAACAGAGCAGAGATAGTGCTGATGCAGGCAGATACAAAGACTAATGTTCGTACCTCAACTTTATCCACTACGTAGCCCGTGACAATATTTGTGAGCGCCCCGACGATCACCAAGGGTAGAAACATCACGGCCGAGATGAGAGCAGAATGATGCTGGATGTTTTGGAAACTGCCCATACTCGTCAGCCACCTTCCATATTCTCCTTGTAAAAATGGAATGTTAACTTACTAGAGCGACGAAAAGTATTGGAAGGCATTGAAAACAGCCCAGGTAAAGAACACGATGATGCATGTCGAGGTAAATGTGGTGTTACGCCATATACTGTTGGGAATGAGGGCGGGTTGACCCTTTCGTTGTCGCCAATTCATCCAGGCGATGAATGCAGGAATGAGCACCAGTGAAACAACAAGGAGAGCAATGACGTATCCTGTGCGAATGTTTCGATAACTTCCGGAGAGTTCACTACAGGACACATTGCATTAGCAAGATAGAGTTGAACGCGGGAAATTGAGGGAACACCTACGCCATCACGAAACACAGCAATGCCAGCGAGACACTAATGATGACTGCCCCAATCCAATCAATTTTTGCCATGCGCCTATACCACGGCTCCCCGTGGGGTTTGCTAACAGCGGGCAGCGCCCGGATAGCCGTGGCCGATAGGACAGCATTGATGATAGCACTGATATAATATCCATAGCGCCATCCGATCGTGTCAACGAAGACACCACCAAGGATGAGCCCCAATGAATAGCCTAAAGGCTGCCCCATTCCCATTGATGCAAATCCAATGTTTCGCCTTTTTCCCGAGGGGCAACTGCGCGTCATTAGGCTAACTGCAGAGGGCAAGCACATTGCGATGCAAAGGCCCAAAAGAGTCCGAAACGCGATGAGCTGATTCCCAGTTTGTGCAAAGCCGCAGGCCAGCGTGAATATTGCATACAGAATACTCCCAGTTATCCATATTATTTTGTCACCCACTGCATCCGCAATGGAGCCGAAGAGCAGCAGAGTGCAACCCGCTGCGAGCGCGTAGACCGATGCGGGCCATAGTAGGATATCTTCGTCTAGATGGAGGTCGATCGCCATTTGTGGGAGGGCCACGGTTAGGATTCCTGATCCCATAGTATTGAGGAAGCTGACGCCCGTGAGGCTGACAATGGTGAAATTCGCGCGAGTAGTGCTGAAGGGCTTGGGTGAAAGCGCTCTTTGCGCGAGTACCGCTTCATCGTTGGGTGTGCTTTCGGACGATGTAGTATTGACATGACCTGGCTTGTATGTGTTCTTTTCTCCTTCTGAGTGCATTGTGTATTCCTGGATGTACTCAGGCTTGAAAATTGAATGGGGATTGCCAGAGAGAGCAGCTGTCACCCAGCGACAGCCAGAGATAACAGTTGAAAATCCGATCAAAACTCCTTTAATGAGATTAATGATGGACTAGGCTGTTCGGAGCTTAGTCTCAATTTGGGCGAGTCACTATCTATTGCTGTGGTATTCAGCTATTAATTAACAAGTAAGCATAACAAAGTTGGGCTCTACAAGCATGCTGACATATTGTCCTTTTGATTCTTTTGTAATCAGGTCGGGTTCTTTTCCGCTTTGGATGATTGTACATGAATCCTTCCACAGAGGGAGGATCCACCAGCTGGCGTTTCTGCTAGGGGTTGCTATAATATGCAGTATTATAACAAGGCTGACTTTTAGGGTTATCGCTGATAAGCAACTCTGGACTCCACCGCGGGACTCTTTCCGTGGTTTGATAACACTACTACTAGTATTATTGTCCCTGCCCAAGGCTTTAATTAGTTAACTAATTTATCAGTGCGTATGACAAATTGAACCAACAGAGCGCGGAACAGAACTACAGTGGCTCGATAGACTTTAATTTGGCCAGCTCCTCAGCCGGAGAAGCCATCCATTTTCTCGACTTTTTCTCGATTGTTTTTCCCTTACACTATAAACATGCTCCAGTGTGCTGACGTGGCCATTCGATGTATGTGAGAGAGCATTATTTATAACAGCGACTGCCTCAACTAGCACTTACTCGCCGGGACAGTGCAGATGATCATCCGTGCATATATATTTTACTGTAGAATCAGCCATCATACATGGAAGGAACTCAGTCCTCCGTGTTCTTCCTCTTTGACCACTCGGTTCTTCGAAGTTGCATCCACCCATCAAGGGGGATCACAGGGAGAAACCATAATGAGTCAAGTAACAGCGAATAGATCAGAGACAAAATCCCTTCGTTGTAGGGTCAGACCGTCATCCAATTATTGATATGCAAAAGGCTTAGGCTTTTAATAGAGTATATTTCATAGTCCACCCTAGCTGCACGATAGAAACATGTCCTTACTGTAGGTGCACGGAAGCATGATGAACGATGCATGGATGGAATAGTAGCATGAAGCGTCTCGGCAACACTATGGGAACTCCCGCGCGAACAAGATTATACATGTGATGTATCCGATAATGACCGTTTTGGGAATTTCCATTACTTCCTTGAATCCACTAAAGGCAAGATCTGCTTTCGCTTTCCCCTCTAATCACTTCTAGCTTGAAGTGGCTCCCTCACCGCTTTATTACTCCAGTCCATTTGCTTCCTTTCTACCTAATGTGTTGTTCTGCTCATGCGCCATACTCATATGACATATAAACACCTCTTTAATTATTTAATTTCCTTGCTATGCGATCGCCTATATCAGGCAAGAAGCTCCTTCGCTATCGATAAGTATATCTACTTTGGGATCCTTGGCCTCTTAATGCTCTAGCTTACGGCATTTATGTTTTTGATAGAATTTACGGTAGATTTAAATGTTCATACGCTGGCCAGAGCTACCCAAACCTATTCTGTTTCTGAGAAGGGCTCTGACATATATTTTCTTATAACCTTCCTCAACCTGAACTATCCCAATGGCTAATATGCTCACTGATACACGAAGTGAAGAAAGCAAGCAGACCAGTCTCGTATCTGACCTTCAATTCTGACGACGAGACTAATCTATGAAGATGCCACGTCTACTTCGCAAGGGTTTCCCTCTATTCGCAGACGAAACCGCATTTACGGAATTGTATGCATGACCGGTTATTCTTTATGATCTAGTCAAGTCACCATATCGTGACAATAAGCCTGTATTAGAGGGTGCGGCATTACAGCAAAATACACCCGATCTCTGGTGGGGAAGCTTGAAACATGCCATAGGGGGGAAGAGTCGATGCTCTCGAATATTTCAGCGCCCTGAGGATAAAGTCCTTCTCAACGGTT